AAGCAGGGTGTGGGGGATTTTCGCAAGCAATTTTTTAAGCATTAATATTTAAATACATGGACAAGCACAACAAGTACACTGACAATCAGAACCATTATTTTCACAAGACTCCACAAGAAAGAAACAGAAATAAAAGCGATTCAGTGTCAGCCGAGATTGCTCTCGTTTCCAGTGGGAGCCGCGAGGGGGCCCTGAATCATATCCCACCAAAAAATTGCTCACCTCAGGTATCAAGTATCCAGTGTCCACATCCAGCTTGATCCGCATCGATGGTGAAGTTATTCGAAATGGGGACTTGGCCTGAGAGAAACAAAACGGTGCAATAACAGGAGAGAGCATCGAAATGCGATGAGGAAAGCCACCCAGCCAGCCAACTGAGCAGCTTTCCCCACCTGAGATACCTGCCCTTTGCCTGCCCATCTCCTGCGACACCATGTCATCACCAACAGACGCGTCGTCAGCATGGCCCCGGCCTCAGTGATGAACCCATGTTTTCCCTTGTGTGTGGGTGTGCAGTGCCCTTTGCTCTTGTGTGTGCAGCAATTGGACTTGCTCTCAACAACTGAGATGGGCACCGCGCGTACGAGCGTGTCTTGGTGGCGATGGCGCAGTGGTGGCGCGAGGAGATGACTTGCTTGCTTGGGTAAGTGGGTGCGTGAGGACGCGAGTATCAAAAAGCTTCAAAGTGATGAGACGGCATGTCAGAGTGGAGAGTGTGTCTGTGTAGAAGCAGTGAATGTCATCGGTTAGAGCAGGTGTTGTTGGGGAATAAGCGGGAGCGTTGTTTGATGCTTACTTTGTTTTTTGGGTGAGACGCGCGTCAAAAATGTGCGTGCGCAGTCGTCAAGAGAAATGCGCCGACTGGCCGTCCCGCCAAAAAGTGCAAAGCATCAATAACAAACTTACCAACACCCAACAACTCCACCAGCATCCCCAAACACCGACACCGGGACAGGCAGCACTGCCAGCACCCAACATCGCAAGACCGAGCAGCAGAATCCTTGCGAGCATCAAGGCTGTTTTCTTCGACTGCTGGCACATCTGCTCCCACAACATACGTTTTAACATGGTGTCAACACTCTGCCGTATGGATTCAAAATGACGACTTCATAGGAGTAGTCGAAATAGACAGCGGCCAGATGGGCAGCTTTCGATCTGCAGGTTGAATGAGCCTGGTTTCGTGGAGGCGGCGACACATACACAAAAACTCTGGTCACAACATACGAGCCGCCAAAAGATGTCCAGACGGTGCACAGGGATTCTTCCAGACCATCAGACATACCCAGGAATTCCACCCATGTGAGTTCCTTTTTTGTGGCATTGCAGCAAAACTTACCCTGTGGTTTTTTCCCCCTCACAGCATCCACACGCAAAGCATCATCGCGTCCTTTCCTTTGCGTTCATTCGAATCCGAGTATAATGACAAGCATAGATCGTCAATCTTGCGTCTCGAGGCATTTTCGATGACTTCAAACTTGTTGGGAGGTTGCACGTCTCACCCCACCAGGCGAGAAGATATGCGATTGAGATAGAGTCAACAAAGATGCCGAAAATTGCGATGCACAGCCGCAAAGTCAGGTGTTTTCGAATTCGATATGTATTGCTCGGAGCCACGCAGCAACACGCTCGCCTAGCAGCACAAAGAAAGAAATCAAATGGACCATGTACATCGATGTTCCATCATATTCCCTTCCTCCAGATACAAAGGGGATCCTGGATGTTTTGCGGGATGTGAGATGGTCCACAACAGTTTCAGTCAGCATTTAAACGTCAAATAAACCTCACCTCAATGAAGCATCACTGAATATGTTTGTATCCTCCGATTATCAAAAAGGGACAATATAAAGCCACCAGAGACAGAGAGAATCGGTTGGGGGGCATCCTTGAGGGGGGTCATTGAAAGTCTGAGATTGTGCGGAGGTCATGGGTGCTCGTCGCAGTTGCCTTGACGAGATGCACCACATACATTCGACTTGGGAATAGATGTGAAACCAACTGCTCCTCAGTGCTCGAGGATATCAACGGCAGGATCGAGGTGGCGACATGGACAATCTGAAGATCGCCTGTTCAGGGAGATTTTTTTTTGGCACCATCACCAAGCAGCCACAAACGCGGCTCATTCAAAAGTAAGCAGATCCTGTTCTTAACATGTGCAGCTTTCCTGAGTTGTTGCGTGTTACAAATACTTGAACGACAACAACAATATTGACGAATTCACGCGACAGAATAGACTTCTTCCAAGTCAACGCGTGATTTCATCGAACAGAGATGCAGATTGCACAAGCTCTTGTCACACGAAGCACTGACTGACTCCGCGTTGTGAATGCAAACGCGCGGTTAGATGGCGGCGCCCGCGTTCACAATTGAATAAATCTCATGCGGCAGCGGCTGCGATTCGAGGGATGGAAGTGAACATTCAGAGTCCAATTTCGACAGCAGGTCAAAGAATCCGAATCTGAGAGGGCACAAAAAAGAGCCCAGATGACCATCACCTGACAAACAACCAAGTCTCGGAGCAGTCGCATTCACACCCAAAGCGATTGTCAGCAATTTTATTTCAGAATACTCCACAAAGACGAAAGCGATTTAGTGTCAGCCGAGAGCAACCATGATTGCTCTCGTTTCCAGTGGGAGCCGCGAGATCATATCCCACAAAAAAATTGAGTTCACCAAGTAACTTGGATGTATTACCAGTCTCCAGTCGGAGACATGTGAGTAAATGTTCGCTCATTCAGCCAGTCTCATGACCTGGCCCCAAACTCAACCAATACCGTAGCGCTGGTGAGCCGACTCAACTCAAACAAAGCACCCAGCATCGTGCAATCAAGAACTGATAGTATCAACAGTGCGTCTTTCCAAGAGTTTATTTTCGATTCCGTCAAAAGCGCATTGAATAGAGCCCCCTTATTCAGATTCCACACACGCCCTCCAACACCACAATACACTGTAAGAAATGCCGAATGCATAATTTACTGGCTGTAAGCCCAGACGCTGTTCGCGAGAGTATCCTAGTGGTGAGTACAGCACAAATCTCACATGCAAAAACAAAAGACACGTACTTCTTCAGCAGACCGTCCTGGGTGGCAAGACGGTTGATGCTGTCATCGGCCTCTCCCAAAGAGCGGACAAATCCAGACAGGGCGTAAGCCTTGGTGGCTCCGGTAAGACGACCGTTGGCATCGACTTCACCGATGCTGATTTGGACTGAGGCGTGGTCCTTGGCAGTGATGAGACGGCCAGTGGCACTGCACTTTCTTGGGATGTACAAATCGACGATCTGAAGAATTGATAGGTTTCGAGATGAGTTATTCGAGCCGGATTGAGTAGATTGATAATAAGTTGCTATGATTCGATGGACGGATTGCGATGGGTGCAATACGGGACACTCACTTCGCCCTTGTCGTTCTCCATTTTCTATTCCATCCGAGGGAAAGGAAGGTACGTTTAGTTGGCTGTGTGGTCGGTTATGAGAGGGAATATGATTCGAAGCCGCAGCTCATCCAAGTGCAGGAGTCATCCCAATATGCCTCCTTCCATTCACTATTCGAGATGGATGCTGATGCGACTCTGCTCTCGGATGGGCGTACGTGCTGTGATGGCGAGTGGCTGATGCAGGGTCACGCATGTCACTTACGATTTTAAGTAAAAGGGTGGAAAAGAGATGGAGACCCACTCAACGCAACCCCCTGGACATTCGTCCTGCCACAAGTTACGGCGCCGACAAAGTTTTGTCAGTCGCACTATCGAGAGACAGATTCTTTCTCGGGGGCGGCGAAAGCTGACGACATACCATTGTAAGCTTTCTTATCAACTTGTCTTGCCACGAAACGCAGACATCAACACTCTGGTCATACGTTTTATCTTAAACAGACGCATGATGCATGGTAATTCTTTGCTTGAGGTATGTAAACCATGGCAACTGACACGATGAACGGCTCCCTCCAAAAGGGCAGCTGAACTGGTAAAGTGTATTCATCTATGCCTCAAAGTAACGAGCAGATTCAGCAATAAACCAACTATCAAGGTAATGAACAGATTTGGTTTTATTCCGTTTTGAACAACATACTTTGACGAGGCATCAAGTCACAACAGTGAAAGAGATGTCTGAATTACTGCCTTAGCTCACTCCTCGTTGCGGTGGTTCCCGAAATTTACAGCAGTCTGGGTCGCAAACTTGGCCGCTTTGACACCCTCAGACAGCACTTTTATGTTCAATAGAATTTATGGGTGTTGGCTGCTGGCTGTCTTAGGGTGTCAAGTTGTGCTGAGTTTGGTTTGATTGCAACCTTGCTGCAGGTACAACGCCTTTGAGACGTGAGCTAGCCGTGACCGACAAGCAACGCATGCTTCACAGACTACCGTTCTTGAGTTACATTACTTTGAGATTACAGACAACATTGCACAAGATGATGCAGTGAATTGCCTTGAATCCAAATGGAGTAGTCGGCGTTCATAAGTTTGAGTTGCCGCAGACAGCCTTGGATTGGTCTTGGGGGAGAAGCAGTGGATCAGACAGTGAGGTTTGGCTGATGGGTGAGGGTGTTGCTTTATAGCAATTGTGGGTCAGCATTTGTTCATGCGAAATGTTCGTATGCCCAGGTTCATGCGAATCAGTCGCTTCATCAGGAACCTCGTGTCGCTGTGCACGAAAGTTGATGATGAATTCGACCAACTGATCAATAAAAACGCGATGCTTGCTTGTATGAAACGGCTGTTTTCTCCGGTAAGTCAACATAGGCTTAAATTTTGCGTGCAGAAACAGTTTGTTACATGCTGTCTCTCAGCATATCAACTGTGGAGCAGTTTTACAGAATGGGGCGTGTTAGCTGCATGGCGGTCATGGCCGTCATGTCGCGTGATCCAAAAGGAACACAAACTTGCAAAAACAGTGCATCCTGAGAGTGTTAGAGACATGAGTATCATTATTAGGCAACAGAAATACACGTAAGATGGCAAACATCCAAGGAAAAGAGAGGAAGAGTCGAAAGAAAACAAAAGTACGCCCAACGTGGGGGTCGAACCCACAGCCTTCAGATTAAGAGTCTGACGCTCTACCGATTGAGCTAGCCAGGCACGTGTTATTGTTAGAGAATAGGTCAATTCTTGGAACTGGCTTCTTGACTATTCAGAGGCTGGACTTGGACTGCTTTCGTGCAGGAGAGAGATAGAGAGTAGTAAATGAGTTGTGGAGAGACTGCTCTTTATTGGAGAAAAGGGGCAGGCTTAAATAGGAGTTTCTGGTAACTAATCACAAAGTGAAACAGTTGGAAAATGGTTTGGAGATTTTAGAAGAGAGAGATTTTTGGTGTGTTGGAATTGGTTCAAAATAACGAGCGGGTTTCTGAAACGTGGGAAATTTAGTTGATGAGAACTTTTTGCTGCGCATTCTTTGAAGTACGTCAACGTAATCCAGTAGAATACGTAACAGTAATGTTAGGGAATAGGTCGAGTGCTGGAACTGGCTTCTTGACTATTCAGAGGCTGGACTTGGACTGCTTTCGTGCAGGAGAGAGATAGAGAGTAGTAAATGAGTTGTGGAGAGACTGATCTTTATTGAAGAGAAAGGGCAGGCTTAAATAGGAGTTTCTGGTAACTAATCACTAAGTGAAACAGTTGGAAAATGGTTTGGAGAGAAGGGAGAGATTTTTGGTGTGCTGGAATTGGTTCAAAATAACAAGCGGGTTTCTGAAACATGGGAAATTTTGTTGTTGAGAACTTTTTGCTGCGCATTCTTTGAAGTACGTCAACGTAATCCAGTAGATTATGTAACATGTTATGTGCCACGTAAATAACCTTAAGTTCCAGAGTCTTCGAAACCCTGACTTCCAAATTCTTACGTGTCATTTCTTTTAATCACCTTTCGATCTCTTTCTTTGACATTCCAAGAATACGGGTATAAAAGACCTTCCTCTGATCTACAATAAAGAACATCTTATCCTCTGAATATTCTAAGACCTCCTTGGAATCTGAGCCCATTCTGTAACATTTGGTAGCATCGGAGCATTGCCATGTCTGACTTCCCAATGAACCAAGCCACAAGCCCAGCTGAGTCCCAGCAAGTTAGCTCCCAAGAGCAACAGCTCCAACAAGTCCTCCAAGCCTACAACCAGTTGCTTGAAACCAACCAGTTTCTCATTCAAGAACTCAAAGCCATGCGCCATTGCGCTACCTCTGTCCAGTCTACCATCCAGCCAACCGTTGTCCCCTGCCAGACTTCAAAATGCCTTCTGTCAAGCCCATTGCCTTCTCCGGTTCCATTAGAACAAGCCTTCCCACGAACTTCAGAACTACTTGGGTGACTACCTCGATCATGCTCTTGAAATCTGCCATCTCTACAGTTTTGCCCCGTCTCTGTCCACACGAACTCACACTGGCCAACCTACCTATGTGCAGTTTACCGCTGCAGGTCTCACCGATCATGCTTGTATCTCCTGGCGCCGAATTCCTGAATCTGAACGCGCCTCCATGACCTGGGACCAATACAAGGAATGGATCCAAAAAGCCTTTGGATCTCTACTCACCCTGCCACAAGCCATTGAAGCCATGGAAAAACTGAACCAGTCCAAGTCTGCTACCCTGTACACTGCCCAATTCAACGAACTTGTATCTGCTGTTTCTGCTGCCAGTGTCACCTACGATGTCAAGCACCTCTGTATCAAGTATCTCCAAGGACTCAAGATGCATCTCAGAACCATGCCAGAACTGTTTCAAATCACTGACAACCTTGACAAGTTGCAACAAGAAGCAGAAAAGTCAGGCAACCTCATGTTTCGCCATGCCAGAAGAACCCAGAATGTCAGCCAGTCCTTTTGTGCCAACCAGACCTCCTTCAAGAAGCAGCCAAGTACCCGTCCTTTCGAAATGCATTTCCAAGCCTTGATGACCCCATGGATCTCTCCAACACTGAACAGTCTCAGCCCTTTTAGTCCTTTCAACATCTCACGCCACAGCAAAAGGAGTTTTTTCGATCCAAGGGTTGGTGCCTTTATTGCCAATCCAAGAACCACAACACAGACCACTGCCAGAAGCTCCAAGAACGTAGCTTTCAAGCCCAGAAGCCCAACACCATCCAGTCTCGATCCAGTCACCAAGCCTCTTGCCAAGAAAGCCAAGGAAACAAATGCTACCAGTCTAAGTCACGAATCAATGCCACCACTCAAGTCCATTCTGAAGAAGACAAAGCTGCCATCAACTCAAGCTCTGTCTTTCAAGAATAATCGTTTTGAGCCTCTCAGCTTTAATGAATCAACCTGCCCTTTGACCACTGCCAACTCTGACTCCACTACTACAGAACCCATGAACAAATTTGATTATCCCCAGTACAATTTACTCAGCATGAAGAACCACCACTCTTCTGCTTTCCCAGATGCCCCAGGCCTCCTTATCTGCCAAGGAACCATCCAAGACCATCCAGTCTCTATCCTGATCGACTCAGGTGCTACTCCAAGTTTTATCCACGCCAACCCACCATTTATCCAAGACAGCTCTCTCCAAGCTCAAGATTACAAGATTAGATTAGCCAACAAGTCCCTCGTCCAAGGGAAACGAACGAAATCATTGCGACTGAAACTCCAAGGAACCTCATTCACTGACTCCAGAAGCTATACTGCCATGCCCGGCCTTGCCTATGACATTATTTTAGGAAAAGACTTCCTCAATGACTATAATCCAGAAATTGATTGGCCTTCCAATACCATCAAGAGTGGTCCTCATCAATGGACATGCACTCTACCAAGACCTCTACCAGAAGTACTATCAGCACAGCAATTTGATAAGCTGCTACGCAAGAAACCAGACCCAGAAATGATAATCGGCCTCATGATATGCCAGACCATCCAAGACCAGCCAGACCAGACTCCAGACAAGAGTACTAAGCCAGAACACTTCCAAGCCAGACCAGACTCCAGATGAAATTTTCAAGCCTACTACTGCTTCCAGTAATGAAGCCAACCTCATAGCAAGATCCAAGCTACCTCCAGAAGTCCTAGCCATTATAGACAAGTATCCAGAAGTACTTTTCCAGCCACTTGAAGGACTGCCTCCTTCCAGACCAACCAACATCAAGATTGATACCATCCCAGAAGCTGACAAGAACCCTCCTCATAGGCCCATCTACCCTATGAATGAAGAAGAACTCAAGGTCCTCAAGGAAGAGCTGACCTACCTCCTCAAGAACTCAAGAATCTGTGAATCTACCTCACCTTACAGTGCTCCAGTCTTCTTTGTCAAGCAGAAGAACAAGCTACGCCTAGTATTCGACTACTGTGCCCTGAACAAGTTAACCATCAAGAACCGCGCCCAACTGCCAAACATCGTCAAAATGCTCAATCGCCTCTGCCGTGCCCATGTATTCTCCAAGCTTGACCTAGCCTCAGGTTTCCACCAGCTACGAATCCTTGAAAGTCACATCCACAAGACAGCCTTTCAGACAAAATATGGACATTTTGAATGGACTGTAATGCCTTTTGGTTTAGCCAATGCTCCAGCTGCCTTCCAAGGCACAATCAGCTCCATCTTTCATGACTACATCGACCAGTTCCTCACTACCTACATTGACGACATCCTTGCCTACTCTGAGACCTACCAAAACCATCTCAAGCATCTAGATCTCACGCTCAAGCGTATGAAAGAACATAAGCTCCATGTACGGCTCCACAAGTGCTCCTTCCTTCAAGATCAAGTTGACTACCTCAGTTACCGTATCCACCAAGGCGCTATCTCTGTTCTACCAACTCGTACCTCTGCCATTCAAGACTTTGAAGAGCCTACAAGCTACTCAGAACTTCTATCATTTCTCAGTGTAGCCAATACCATCCACCGTTTTGTCCACTGCCATGCCTTGCTGATAGCTCCACTCTCAGACCTCCTACATGACCACAAGACCGTCTCATTTGAAGAGAAATGGAATGACAACGCCAGACACCACTTCTACCACGTCAAGAAAGCCCTTGCCTCACCAGAAATGCTAGCAATGTTCGACCCCTCCAAGCCTTTGCACCACACTGATTGGTCTGAACATGCCATTGCCGGTTACATCGCCCAGCCAGATGACAAGAACATTGAACAACCAGTTGCCTACTTCTCTCGAAAGTGCAAGAAAGAAGAGTCCAAGTACCACCCTTACATGGGAGAAATCCTTGCCTTAGTTGAATCCCTCAAACATTTCCGCTCCTACATCTATGGTTGCTCTCAAGTACTAGCCTTTACCGACCACCAGTCTCTGAGACACATCCTTACCCAGCCAAAACTCCCACCGTTGGCTTGCTGATCTGCTCTCCTACAATGTCAAGATCCAGTGGACACCAGGGGAGTGGAATACAGTTGCTGATGCCCTCTCAAGATGACGATTTGCCTCAGATGCCTCAGTTCAAGTTGACCTTTACCAGAATGCCACCCCTGTCTCGGTAGAACTTCCAGATTCAATGCTACTGAACACTACCAAGCTCAAGATCACCGACAACCTCATAAATGATGTGAAAGACATGAATACCACCGACCCAAAGTTCCTCAAGATTACCCAGTACCTCATAGACCCAGAAAACCCAGACACCTTTGAAAATGATCGTACCATGTCGGTACAAATGGTGGTGGCACGCTGTATGAGGGTTTGTGACTTGAGGACTAGGTGCTACAACAATGATTTTGGTCTAAGAAGATGTTTATTTGCCTTGTGGAAGCTCTACCATTTATACCCTTTGGAATAGAACATGAAAGAATCACTCTTAGGTGGAAAATCATGGGTATCTCCCTGGTTTTCTATTTTTTCACAGTAGAAATTATAAAGAACTGAGATGGAGAATCCCCGAACATCGCCAAGGACTGTTGGGCCTTTACCAATCCTAAAAGTTACGTTTTCAGTTTCTTTTATTCAAGTTACTCAGTAACACAAGTGCGGCGGCGAAAGATAGCAAAAATCACTCAAAAAAAAGTTCAGAAAACTCCAAAAAAATGAAGTAAAGCGCGGAGATGTTAACAAAACAGATGGTCGGTAAAAGTAATACAATACGTATGGTCAGTTAGAGCTTGGCAGTTGGTTATCTGGGCTCCGGGTTTCGGCGAGGTCGTCCTCGTGA